TCTCAAAAACATCGGTTCTTAGGTACCTTTGAGCAATAAATTTTGCAATTAAAGATTTTTCACCAATTTTTCCAAATTAATATTACCCTTGGTCCTCAATGTAAGAGCTAGATAACTAATTTTGGAAGATTACAAAAACTAGTTAAGTTGATTATATGTAACAAATGTGAGCTTTTTTCCTAAAATGTCATCTTTAATGTGCATTATTGGCATTACCCATTGACGGGAACCCCTTAAAATCAATAGGGATATTTTAAGAAAAAAATTATAAATTTGGAAAACCAAGTATATTGATGTCTTATATTTATTAATAAATTCAACTCTCCAACTAACTTTTATATTAAGAATTGGAGGAATTTACAATGTCTATGTATAATGTGAGCTCTCACAATGCTGCGCTAATCACAAATCATTGGGGGGGGGGAAGCAGCTTATTCCTTAATATTCTTGCACCATACATGACCTAATTTAGTTTCATAGAAAAGCAGCTCCTCTTATCATAGCTCAATTAAAGTTCAAACTTTGAAGAATGTAGAGGCAAATAGAATTAAAAATATTATTATAAATTTTAGGTAATTAATAAAATATTTTGTGGCATGGGCCCAAGTGAGGTAATTAATTCAATCAATATATTGAAATTTTGCTATCAAAAAAATATTTAGAATTTCTCTTATAGTGAGAAATACGATTAAGTTTTTAACGGTTGAAAAATTACAGCGATACATTCAGTAAAAAAAAACCTATATACTCATCTTAAAGCTTCCTAACTAGTGACTGTTGATCTTAATTTTCATCACCATACTTTTTGCCAATCAGAAGAGACTTGAACATTTTTTTCTTTTCTAACTCTATTCTATTTTATAATTGTCATTATATCTTAATTAGATCCCAAGTTCATTCAAAGTCAAAACTATAGCAACTAGTATTTATGAAGTCTTCCATTGTAATCCTATAAAGAGAATTCATGTACACAATTTTGGATTATCTATTTGTATCCTATATTAATATGTCTTATGACTGGTATTTGAACCAAGTTTCTGTTCTACTCTGCCTTACTTATGTCATGATGCTCCTTTTCTAAAAATTATTTTGGAATAATTATGAGAGTATCGAGTTTGTTTCTATTTGGATGTATATATTCTTTATAATGAAAAGAAAACCTATATATTGTTTCCGATTAATCATCAGCACCTTCATAAATTGGAAAGAACCAAAATTAGTTTTATACTTTTCAAATTCAACATGCATACCGTAAGCCTAACTTCCATTTACGTATTGTCGTGCTCATCAAGTGTTAGGATGGCAGGAGGCTATTTTTTTATCTCTAGTGACCACTTCATCTTCCTGAATGTCCTGACATTGCTGTCTCATTTTTCTGATTCAAAAACGAAAATCTCTGCTTTTATTTTGGCTTTGTTTTTCATGATATCATTGCCTAAGTTTACTTGCTGTTGTTTTGGCGCATTCCGCCATTGAAAATGCCCAAAAAGTGGCGCCTACTTGCCCCAAAAAAAATGTCTGTGGCTGCAAATTAGGAGTGAGCAAAACCAAATCATAACCGAAAACCGACCGAACTGAACCGAATTCAATTTTGGTTTTCGTTTATATATTTGGTTTTTATTTTTTAAACAATTCAGTTTCGTGTTCAGTTCGGTTAGTATAAAAAAATTTCGGTTATAACCGAAAAAACCGAAATAAATATATTATATATTTATATTTAATATATATTATTATAATAAATATATATATGTGGGTATATGTGAACTTTTTAAATATATTTATATTCAATAAATATGGTTATAATAAATATTATTATAATAAATCACATTGAATGATGAAATATTTATTAATTAATGATTGTAATTGTGTTTTATTATTATTTTAATTTAAAATCATTGTTCATATTTATATATTTCAGTTAATCTGTTAACCGAACTGAAATTTTCAGTTAATTCGGTTTCGGTTAGTTCAGTTAATCGGTTTCGGTTCAGTGTTTAAAATTTGTTCCATTCGGTTAATTCGGTTATCACCGATAACCGAACCGAAAAACCGAATACTTACCCCTACTGCAAATGACAAAAGCTCTACAAGCGACAGCATTTGGGTTGCGGCAATAAGACGGGTGGGGAAGGTGAACCCGCCTCACTAAGGAGATGCATTAAACGATGAATTATTGTTTTTTTGTTTGTTTTTATTAGGCCTTGCAAGCTTTCAGCCTACTTTTTTACTTTTTCAGAGATGGGCTCTTGGTTCCTCAAGATTTAGAATATTTTATTATTTTCTGTTTTAATTGGACCGTGCAAATTTTAATTTTTTTGGTTTTATATATTTTTTCAGATCAGGCCTTCACTGTTTTAGGTTATTTACTTATAAAAAGGTCCTTTTTGCATAGCGATTTTTAGATTATTGTTTTGGGCTCATAATTTATCTTTTATTCTCAAAATTTTATTTGTGTCGTCGTGCTTTTTCTTTTTGGAAAACAGTAACATTCTGGACTTTCTGTTTCACATATAATTTATTTTAAGCAATGTTTAAATTGTTTAAATTGGCTATTTCATGTTCTGGATAATTTTGCAAAATCATTATGGTGTGATATTTATTTGCCTAAATATTTGGATGATTAATTTGCACAACTATTTAACTATTTGAATTTTTCAAAACTTCACATAAGTTGAAATATGCTAAAATGATTTTTTTTTTGAACAATTGTTTGGATGCATAAAATAGTGGGACAACTTAATTAATTTAATTATTTAGTCACTTGTGTTGATTAAATTAATTGCTTGAATTCTCCATTAAGTTGTACGTATATTAGATTTTAATGAACTTATCTAATATTTTTTATTAGTATGCTTTTCTTATTGAGTAGCCATAGGAAATATAAGTGTGTTCTAGTTTTATCAATTTGAGATAAATGCATGTGCTAATTTCTTTGTCCACAATTAGTTCTCAGTGATACATATTTATAATTGTATGATTTATTAATACTTTTTAAGCATTCATATATGGCACAATTATTGTGATTGTCTCAACTAATTTGTGAGTTTAATTGATTCTCTAAAATTGCAGTCTCATTTTCTGTCCCTCACCTTATTGTTGATGCCAGCAACAAAATCATACTAAATGGGACTAACTACCCAGGATGGAGGAAAAGTGTTGCTTTGCAACTCGTTTGTTTGAACATGAACTTTGTCTTGAAAACTGATAGATCTCTCAAACCAATTGATGGCTCATTGAAGATTAAAAAAAAAAAAAAGGAAGGCTAAATTATGAATGTCAGGATCATCTCACTCTCTTACCCATAAAAACAAGGATTGCAAAGAGGACCAAGAAATGGAGTCAGAAGGGCAAGCACCAATGGAAAGAGACTAAAATCTTCCAAACCCGATACTATGAATGAACTATTACAACAAATTTAGAAAAGCCTAATACCATTCTTTCGGGAAAGATGGCAAATGAGTGGTTGAAACAAATGAAAATTGGTAGTGACGCTGAAACCCATTTCAACATGATTTGGAGTGTATGATATATATTATCTTTTAAAAGTCCTAGACGAGGAACTTCAGATTTAAATTGAGGCCTTATGGGTCACTCTGGAGCATCTAATCACAATTCTGAACTATCAAGAGTAAGATTAATAGGGAGTTTATGTTTTTTTTTTATTTTCTTCTTATTCTGTTTATCATGATTGGAAATTTTAGAACGGTGATACTTATGATTTTATTTATGTGTTGCTAAATTTTCAATTGGATAGGGATGCAGCCCACTGGGCAGCTCGTTTCTATTATTTTGTTTTGATTCTTTTATGGATTTATATTTATGAATATATTTTAGTTTTATCAATTATATCTATTTCTCTTGTTCTTCATGTTGGTTTTATGACTTATCACCATCAAACCAAACTATGGGTAATCTTAATGGACTAGGAGGTGAAGAAAGAATCTAGATATAGAGGGATAGAGATAAATAGGTAGACTAGGGATAGTTATTGATGTTTACGTTGACTTAAAACTATAGTTTCATGATTTAATTGATTGTTTGGATATCGTAAGAATGAATTTAGCACTAATTAAAAAGAAACTAATAATTTGGGATAATATTATGACACCTTAGGAATAATTGTCACTATAATTAAATAAAAGGTCAACTAATTCATAGAAACTAGCTACTTATAGGGTGAATCCTAAACCCCAACCTTTTAAATGATTAGTTCATTCTCACAATTAGTTATCTTTTGTTTTTCTCTTTTATTTTCAATTCATTCTTGTTAAATAATTTGATTTATTGCTCTTTCTTTAATTATTAGTAAATACACAACCTTCTTGTCAGTACGACTCCAAAATACTTTGGGATTTATTATCAGTACATTGATTCTGCACACTTGCCGGCCGATCACCTTTTTGGCTTTGTTGCTAGAGAGGTTACAAATTTACTAATTCTTAGATTTTTAGGTTTTATTTATTTTTACTTTATTTTTTATTTTTCATTTATTTACTTTTAAGCAATTGAGAAGTTCTAGTGACTTTACCTTGATTCCTATTAATTTAGAGATTCAACAATTTTGCAGGAAAAATAGAAGTCAAAGAAGAAGAAACAATGGTTGGTAGTGATCATGGAAATGACGTTGACGATTCACAGCCACAAACTACATTCCGAGATATTCAACACCCCGTCATTACTTCTAATCCATCGTGCATTCAACTAAGTTGTGCAGTAAGTAATTATGAGTTTAAAAATATTCATTTGAATGCTACCTACTTTCAATGGACATAGAACTAAAGACACCTTAGATTTTATACAAGATTATTAAGGGGTGATTGATACACTGCCATTAAATGGTCTATTAGATGATGAATTAAAGCTGCATTGTTTCCCATATTGTATGAAGGGAGCAGCTCATCAATGGCTTCTACGCTTACCAGAAGCTTCCATAACGTCTTGGACTGATATGTACAAGCAGAAATTAATGCTCAAGTGTTACTCCCCTCAAAAAAACTTCAGAGTTAAGGGGTAAGATTTACTTTTTCACACAACAGAATGGTGAATCCTTCCATGAAATATGGGAACTCTTTAATCTCCTCATGAGCCAATGCCCCCATCATCAATCTCCACATATACTTCTAATGAATTTTTTTCTATAATGGGTTTAGTTCTTAATATCAGTCAAGAGTTGATAATGCTGCTCATGGCAATCCAAACAACATGACTACAGAAGACGGAGAGGAGATTTGTAAAAAGCAATTCGAGGAAGGAGGGCAACAGTTAATGAAGTCACTACTTTAAGTCTTTCATGAACTACGAGATTTAACAAAGAGCTTAAATTTATTGTTGAAAAATTTTAATTATGTTAATTCTCATTCTTCTCCTGCTAACAATTCTCTTCATGAAAGATATAATGGTGACTATTTGGAGGAGGCAAATTATATGGGGGCTGAATATAATAGAATTAACCTTAAGAATGACCCTTACTCTAACACCTATAATTTGAGGTGGAGAAATTATCCAAATCTCTTTTGAAAAAATTCTACCCCTTAAAGGCCACAAGCACCACCAAGCTTCTAACGACAAAGTAGCACACTTGAGGATCAAACAAGCCACTCCTAAGTCAACAGCATGAAGAGTATAAATCAAGAAATTGACTAGCTCAAAAAGGTAGTTGCTTCAACTCAAGCTTCTATGACAAATATAGGGTCACAAATGGACCACTTAATAAAAATATGAAAGCTCAAATAAAAATTTTGACTAAATTACTCACTGGACAAGGTCAAAATAAGTTTCTTAGCAATACTGAGAATAATGAAGATGATGAGGTAATTGAGATACCTAGAGCCAACATCAGTCAAATTCGTCTTTATCCATCTAAAGCCAGACCTTGTGTGCCTCCTATTCCATTACCTGAAGATCTTCAAAAGAAAGATTGAAATTTTAGCTTCCAAAGATTTCTTGAGATGTTAAAGAAAATCTGAATCAGTATTCCTTTTCTGAAGATTCACTTCAACTCATATCTAATATGCCCATCTTCTATAACATTATTCTGCTTTCTGACACAGATGTAGTTTCTTGCAAATAGTACCACTATTGTAAGACGGCATCGTGAACGAGTCTAGTCGAGTCCAAGTTAGAAATATTGAAGACTTAAATTTGGTGAAGAAAACAAGAAAAGGAAAAGAAGATGGCATATCTGGAAATTTCAGTGAAAACCTTATTCCTAATTGTCAACAAACCCTCAGTTAGGATCTATCACATATTTGTCATGCAGCCTTTGGCTCAAATTGTCCTCAATAGCATCCTGGTGGGAAAGTTCTCAATGATATTACTAATAGTCCATTGTTTAAAGATCTAACGATCTATGAATGTCGTTAAAGTCAAAATGGTACTCCAATCTTGAATACTCAACCAAGTGCAAGAGTTCATGGAGAAAACAGAATATTAAGAACTTCCATTATTGCCATAAATCTCTCATCCCGTCTTAAGACTAACCCTGTCAAAGGTTTACCTTTTTTCATATTTGTTCTTTTCTGAGGTTTTTGGTTCACTGATTATTTATCCATGTAGATATCAGCGAGGATGCACCAAAAGGTGAAGTTGATTATGAGGAAGAGATATTTGTTTATGAAAGTGTAAGATCCGATATCTACCTTAGCAAAGGCGATCCAATCTTTGAATGCGGGTACTGTGGCGCATTGCTTTGGTTTAATGAGAGGATTAAAAGCACACCAATCACCAGATCTGGAAATGGCAGATTCCTGAAAAGGTCAAGTTCTTTATGTGGCAAATGACCCATGAGAGATTGATTACTAACTCCCTGAGAGCTCAAAGGGGCCTTACTGATTCAAATACGTGCCCTTTCAATTGTCAAAGTGAGGAGAGCATCATTCATATATTGAGAGACTGTGAGAGAGCCCATGAGGTGTGGAAACACTTTTTATCTACTAACCATATATCTAGTTTCTTTTCTAGTAATTTGCAGGGATGGCTTAAGTGGAACGCACAAGCTCAACCGGGACGAGGACACTTCCGAAATCACCCCTGGACGAGAGTCTTTAGCATGGTATGTTGGACACTTTGGACCTCCAGATGTCGTACAATTTTCGAGGAGAGCAGGGCAACCACACATGATCTCATACACCAATGCTCTTACCTCCTTATGGAGTATGTGGTCAACAACGAGTTCCAACAGTGTTTTCAAGACGCTGAGTGACCAGGAACCAGTTTGGGAGCCACCTCCACCGTATCGACGTAGATGGCTCAGTATGGCACCATCAGCAAGCGGCCTGTGGAAGATTAATCCGGGATAGTGCGGGTCGCTGGATAGCCTGGGTTACAAACTGGATACCAACTAGGCTTCGACAAAATTATCATAAGCTCTGACTCCTTAGATGCTTTCAATCTTCTCATGAGGAACAATGCACCTGACCACCCTTTGGGTAGTATTATCCGTGAGGTAAGAACCCTCCTGTTTCAACATGGGCAAACTGAATTGCGTCATACGTGTAGAAGCGCTATCAAGCGCGCCGATTTTCTAGCTAGAGAAGGACAATCAAATGCTGAAGAGCTAACTCTTATTCCGGAGGTTCCAGCGGGATGCTGGGAAACATTCTTGGAGGATTTGCAGAACAATCGCCAAACTCCCCTAGCTTAGACGTTAGCGGGTTTTGCTTCTAGTTTACTATGTTGACTCTTTCTTTTCAAGCTTAGCTTGCCTTGTAATCTCAAAAAAAAAAAAAAAAAGCACACCAATCAATGAAAGGCCTCTATACTTAATATGCTCTACCCAAGGCAACGTACAAGTGTGCCCAAATTTAAAAGCCCTCCTGATACGCTTAAGAAATTATTTTTCAACAAATATGAGTCTGAGTGAAAGAGGTTTCATTCAAACATAAGTGCATGTAATAACATGTTCTCATTCACATCTACAAGGGAAGATCAATCATTCCATCAACAATGGGGTGAAGTGTCACATCCCGCCAATTATAACCCTGGGAATGTGAATAATAAATTAGACAGAGAATCAAATAGTAAAATACACTCAGAGCCGAAGCAAATTTTGAGTTGAGATATAACTCTTATTCAGACTGCTATTTTTTAAATTATCGATCCAAGAAGAGCAAAATAAAAAAATTAGAGAAAATTTTCAAAAAAAAATTCCTGAAAATAGTAAAAAGATAAATTAGAAGGTTTGAAACCCTATATAAGGCCCTAGAGGTGGAAATGGCCTAAAACTAAATTACTTCAAAATTTGTTGTAAACAGATGTTTTCTTGGAAAAAAACAGTGAAAAATTAGCTAGAAATAATTATTTTAAATATGTAAAAAAACCCAATAATTCTAGAAAAATATGAAAAAATTATTTGAGAATTTATTTGAGTTTATAAAATTATTTTTAGACCCTGAAAGTGAAAGGATTAATTTTAGAATATTAATTACCGAAATCTCATTGGTAAAACTTGATTTTAGAGAAAATTCAAAATAAATAGTTATAGGTTGAGATAAATTCTAAAAAAATTTAGAGGACCTTCCTATATTACAATATGATTTTAGATGCACATAAATGAATTTTTTGAGGTTTGTAAATATTATTAAAAATTAGACAGGAATTTTAGTCAATATGGCAACATCAGATAGAAAAATGTTTGAAGATGAAAGGAAATATCCTTCCCTCTTTCTCCAAGCCATTGAAAATTATTTTGGGCCAGAAACAAACAGTAAATTTGTGGTCTAAGTGATCCACAGGATTATAAACTAAAATAATGCAAAATATCACTTGGTTTTATCCAAATCATAATGGCACATGGGTTACTTGTACACTCCTAATTTTCTGCAGCTTCTTAAGGTGTACACATGGCCTTATTCCTCTAGATTTTTAAGGGATACCTGGAAGGAAGAGGAGGCAGAATTGAAGCCTATAAATACCTCCTCTTATAACTTCAATTTCAGTTATTTTGGGCACTTGAAGGGGAGAGATTTTGCTGCAGAAAAACTGACCTTGGAGAGTTGATTTCATGTTGAGATTGGCCAAAAATTATCAAGTAAGAATCAAAGATCAATCAAGGTATGTCAAAGCTTTAATTTGGCTCTACTTCTAACTTGTTTCAAGGGGAATTCGGCGACAAAATTCCAAGGTATTATGCTCTTCAAATTTTGAAACGTTGAATAATGATTAGAGAATGATAGAAACCATGATTTAAGGTTTGGAATAACTTGCTTGGTTGATGTTTGGATTTATTTTTGGAAGAAATCCTAAGTTCCCTAATTATTGTAACAATTCGGCCAAGTTTGGTTCATGGAGTTAAAAGTTGATTTAGTTTAATTTGATAATTTCAATGAGTTTAGAATGTATTTTTGTGTGGAAATATGTCCAAAAAAAAAGTATTTGAAACCATTTTGAATCAAAAAGAAAATTCTAACCCTAAACTACATACAATTCAGCTAAGTTTGTTGTATGAAAAATTATATAGGAATGGTAGTTAAGACTTGTCAAATAAAGATGGAAATTAAAGTCAAAAGGTTAAAAAAAAAAAAAGAGGGTTATATAGTTATATTGATTCCTCATGGTATGTTATATGTAATGATTGATGATATTGCATTTGTTTATGCATGAATTGATAGGCATTGAGCAAGAAAACAAGAAGGAACCCCAAAGGCATCAAGGAGGCTGAAAATCTTGAGTTAGAAAGAAGTAGCATAAAATTTACAATTTTAATGTTAACTTGCTTGATTATTACATAATATGATTCCTTGAAGATATGCCACGTTGTATTCGAAATTACTTGATGATGTTGACATGTTGGTTTGTTGCATTGTATGCCTTGACAATATGTATTAACATATTGATTTTGAATTGATTGGAATGATATTTGCATAGCATAAAAGTGAATAAATGTTTATGAACTTGTTTGTAATATACATTACTTGTTTGACATTATTATTGTAATTCATTTGCTACTAAGATTCTCATGAAATCCCATTCCTCTCTATATTTAAACAACACCAATATGACCTTCAAGTGGTGTGACCAAAGGCAAAGAGGTGTTGTCTTCATGAATGAGAATTATTATAGAATTATGTTAGATTTTATGTGGAAACTTTGTAATAAGATGACCTTTAA